CGGATCCTCATGTTGGAAGTTTTGCAGAGGTGAGAAATCTAAGTTTTATGTTCTATTATTGAAAAAATTTATTTTAAGACACTGAATATAAGTTTATTTTCTTGAAAAACTTTTTACTGTGTTTATTTTTTTTTTCGTAAATTGAGTATGAACCGTTTTGCGAGTACTGGATGCATTGCTGACATGCCTTTAGATTTATACAACATTATTTCGCCATTACTGAAATCACAGATTGTGAAATACCGAATTTCATAGTTTTGCATTAGGCATATGCTGGTGAGAGATGGAAAATGTATGAAAGACTATTGTGAAACCTTAAATACAAACTACAAACGGGTCAATTAGTTCTAAACTGCTTTTCAACTTGTATGAACCTGAGACAGCCATTTCCAAATTTTACTATTCAAGCAACTGATATTATTATTTTTCGTGTTGATAACCTACAAAGTGACAATTTTCGGAGACCGGTCAAAAAATAGACAAACAATTATTTCTGTCAAGTTGGATTTCAGACAGAAATTTAAAGCTATTAGTATGTACTATTCATATGTATATGGTATATTTGTTGACCGCGCCTACATACAAAAATGAAGTACAATATATAGATAGAGCCTTCGATTTAATGGAATTACCTTTACAAACTTACAACAAATCTCTCTAGAGTTTTACAATTCGATAATTACATAAAATGGTCAGTTAACATTTAAAAATTAGTTTGAGTTCTTTATTCATTTATATTCTTATTATATATCTCTACGTATGTATATACATAAGCACCGACATATATTATTTCTTTGGCTAGAACCAAATTTTATTTCCACAAATATACTAAGTCTTGTACCAAATTGTTATGCTACCATTATTTCACAACATGCAATCTTTCCCTACATGCGAAAACGAGATAGCTGCTCCGTGTTAAATAGAGGATGACCATTACTCTCAGTAATGCCAACTCAGAACTCCTCGCATGAACGGCATAATCACCAGCTAGATTAGTGAAAAGAGCGCAAAAACCGAAATATTTTGCTCTTTATTTTAAATCATAAGTTAAGAAGCCTAGAGTCAAATTCTGAAAAATCTAAATCCCATCGTACACGAAAAGCCTTTTAGATATATTGTATAAACCAGTAATGTAGTCTACACACACAAATTACTAACACAAGTACTTGAAAAACAAACGATAAAACCACGCCCATTCTAAATATTTTATACTTCCTTAGAGTAAAATTGTATGCTTCTGATGATTTTTTTAGCGAGTTAGTATTTTCAACATAACCTTTGTATGTATGGTGTACGTGATTATTATCTGATTTCAATCCAATTTCACACTGTATTAAAAAGTCCTAGAAATAAATGTTTCCAGCAAGTTTGGTTGATATTGTGTTTGTAGTTAGTAAAATATGTGCATAGAGCCTATCAAGAAGCAGAGTCACGCCCACTTTCTAAAGGAAAATATAATCACAGATGCCACTCCCTCCTTTGATCTTATGTACGTAAACGAATATTACAGTTTACTATTTATTACAAATCCCAAGACCAAAGGGACTTCCCATTGACACTTTTTATATAAAATATTAAATATTTTATAGTAAAAAATTTTATTCAAAAAGTAAAAAATATACTTATACAACAAGTAAATATATAAATTTTCTAATGTGTGTTTGATTACAAATTTTATTCTAAACATTCATTGTGTGGGACTGCCTCCAGTAGTATTTACGATAGTATAATTTATAATCTCATTTTACACGTGCATATGTAGACATATCTATACATGTACATGTATCATTCCATATATACATATGTATATGGTATTTTGGCACAGTATTTATAAGCAATTATTTAAAATCCTTCAATTCCTTTTTAGGGCGCAGCTCTTCCGACAATTGGTGGCCCTGGGAGGCAGACGAGCATAACATTTACGGCAAATCATTTTTTTCACATTATATTTCTCGGCCAAAGCAACCAGATTGGGTTCAATTCGTGTGATCCTCATGGTGAAACTTTTTCTGTGATGGAAAATTTATTTCTTATTTTTAATTATTGCAAATATTAAATTCAAAACTTCTTACTACGCTTAAAGTTTTGCTCAAAAATGAACTGTAAACCGTTTTACTCGTACTGGATCCATTGCTGACATGGTTTTGGATTTATACAAGACAATTTCATCATCGAAAATTTGAGTTGTGAAATACCTAATTTCACATAGTTATGGCCGCCATAAATTGCATTTAGGCAAATACGGGAAAGAGATGGAACATGTATTGAAAATCATTGTGAAAACTAGGTTCGATTTGTTTAATTATTGGTCGTACATATGTATATTGTACAATATCGGGTCATTTGTATGAGTTCGACGATGCACACATATAAACGTAAATTCACAATCGCTCAGTGCCGTTTCAGACAGGGATGCAAAAGAGTCTGATCTTTTTCAAATTTTCTTTTGGTGTCGCTCTGGGCATTCACACGGTCAAAAAGAGTCCAGCAACTCGAGTCTAGTTTTTCTGCATTCCTTTTCACAAAATGTTCGTAAATATTTGTGCGGTTCGACTGCGCAACACCGCGCAACACTGCATGCTGCGTATTTCATTTGTATGTTGAGATGATGGTTACACATTTTGCTTGCAATGAATTACCATGAATATGGTAGAACAATATGCATAGTACAAGTACCTACCCGCTAAATAGTTTCAAAAAAATACTAAAGACGGGAATTCCCTAATCCACAAGAATGTATTGAATATCCGCAACTAATATTTTCAAGGCCAAATTTATAATAGCAATTTCCTAATCTTTAAGTATTAAAAACTCATAATTTCTTTACTCCGTATTAAAAATTCATCATTTCTTTACTCCATAATCTATATCTTAATTTTCTCCTTATTTACAATTTGTCATAATATTTCTATTATTCTATGCATACGTATTTGCATATTACATACAAAAATAGATAACAGAACTCAAATTTGCGATCGAATTCATTTGAAACCAAGCGCTCTTGCAACCATTCAAAGGATTTGAAAGTGAAAAGGAATGCTGAAAAGGGTAGCAGCGAGCTGTTACGAACAAGAACACAAAGCGTGCCACCCGAACACGAGTGGCACGGTCCCTTCGTCTTTCCTCGTCGTCCCCTCGCCCACAATAAACTGGTTTGAGACTCTTTTGCGTCCCTGTCTGAAACGGCACTCACTATCATACCCTACAGTCGTTTCAACATGGTATACCCTATTTTATAACCTGTCAGTCCACTATCCTTTCCAATACAAGGAAGTGCTATTTTTTAAATGTTGATATCCTACGAGGGACAATTGTCAGATTTCGTTCAGAACCCCGGCCTGTTGTCCGTCTAATTGGATTTCTGACAGGACGATTAATGTTTAATAAGTTGGTATATTTTGACGCTTCTTCGTTGCTAGGTTGGGAGATTAAAAACACTGCTTAGGCTTATACTGCATTTAACATAATGCGTGCATTTCATGCATTTCGTTAAAAAGGAAGAAGCTTAAAGCGAGTGCCTCTCGAATTTTCCAGTCCTCCTAATAAGTGTAGATATTAATTGTGCGTTTAAATTTAAAAATAATTTGCCTTATATTAATTATGACTACAATTTAAAATATATACGTACATATTTATATGTTCGTATATATCTTTACACATATAAGTATGCACAATCATTTGGCCCGAACTTTATTTTCACAAATATTTCACATACATTTTTGAATGTTTATTTCACAACATGCAATTTTTCCTCCATGCGAAAGCGAGACAGCTGCTCGGTGAAAAACTGAAAATGACAGTTGCCCTTAGTATTGCCAACTCAAAACAGCTGGCATGAACGGCTGGAATAATTGAAATTTATTTAAATAACATTAATACATAATTATGGTATAAGTTTAGATATACAAAAGTTCACCTACATTCAACTTTGGCTTAAGATGCATGTCCTCAAATTCTCTTTAGGGCGGATGTCGTAGCAACGACAATTTTTTTTCGTCAATGGGCGGCCATGATAGGCAAACTGGAATAGAATTTTCCGTTACTCGAACATTGAGTATGGCCGTTCAACTAGTACTAACGCCATTGCAGACATACATTAGCGTTATGCACCACGATTTTGCGATTGCTCGATTTAAAAATTGTGAAGTACCAAAATTATTTGTATAATATAGATTATCTTTTGTAGAAGCTTGATTCGGTGTGTCTGAACTTTAGTCATAGATACCTCTGTTTATTCATATGGGAGTTTGACATTGCTACATTCCTGTCTATATGAGCGTCATACCATTTATTAATGAATGTGTTAATAGCACATCCTGCGGCTATTTTATACATACATATATATACACTTGCGTAAAAGTGGAAGCGGAAATAAGCGATATAATATAACTTAGTAAATACATACAATGTGAAAGTGAGACAAATGATATGTATTAAAGTAATTATATACACATATGTAATTTTATATAATACCATTCAATTCAGATTTGTGGGCGAAATGTTTAAGATTGTTGGATAAAACATATTTATATGAAATAACCTCACCGAGAAAAAACTGAGATGGTATTAAACCGGTTGTCTGGACTTACTATATACAATTTTTGTTTTTGAGTTAAGAGCTATATATACATACATATGTACATGTACATATATACCAAGTTTAATACGAACAGTTACAAAGTGGAAATGTGTTTGGTCGAATTTTACTACTATTTATGATCCATCTTTTTAGATAGAAATTTTTAAAAGTAAGGTTTGCCCTTCGTCTACCGTCCCTTCACATTTTCAGTGTATCGTCGTACCCCACGTCTCTATTATTGTACTTTAGAGTAAGAGTGCTCATGTTCTCCCATTTCGCATTTATAATTTCGAGCGTAGCACAATCAAAGGATGCTTGATGCCAGTATTTTAGCAGACAGTTATTTAGAAAAACATAAGTATTGATCGGAAACAACTGAACCACATGTTTTCTCTCACTCCCGAAATAAAAACAAAAATACTTATTTTTGGATTTTATTTTATGCTAATTCCAAAGTAAAATTTTCACTTCAATTCATACATAGCTGATGTACACATAGAAAAAAATAAAAGGAGAATGCGTTTGTTTGTACGCATTTTTCCCCCCGCAAACGACGAAATCTTCCATATTCCAGTGGTCTACTTCAACTTCTTCTTGGGGCGCAAGTTGTTGGTGTGTCCACACTTCTTCTTGCGGCAATTTGTCGCACGTGGGTGCAGACGAGCGTAGCACTTGCGGCAGATTACCTTATCGCAATTGTATTTTTGTGCCAAGATGCGCAAAGAAGGTTCAATGATACCACCTCGAAGACGCAGAACCAAGTGGAGTGTTGACTCCTTTTGAATGTTGTAGTCGGACAAGGTGCGACCATCTTCCAATTGTTTTCCGGCGAAGATCAAACGCTGTTGATCTGGGGGGATACCCTCTTTGTCTTGGATTTTAGCTTTGACATTTTCGATGGTGTCAGAAGGCTCGACCTCTAAGGTGATGGTCTTACCAGTTAAGGTTTTGACGAAAATCTGCATTCTGCTCGTCTATCTAAAAATATCACAAACAAATAATTGTAGTTTGATTTCCATTATCGAAAAACGAGTTGTGACGTGTGAGTTTATAGGTTAGAATTGGAATCGTGCAAACTTTTTCACTTTATACCTCAAATAATAATAAAAACACAACACAATTACCTCACACGATTATCGTATGTGTGAAAATATCTAATTTATTATTTCTGAATAAAAACTTATATTAAAACACAAATTTTCCAAACAGAAATGATCTTACCTCCAAAAACGTGTAGAGAAATGCTAGAAAAGAAATAAAAAGGGAAATTTTTGATATGGCAGGAAATTTTTGACATTTTATTTAAAGTACTGCCAAGTCATGAAAACATGTCTCATTCACAATTTACTATTGATATCAATGATTGCTTCATATCTTACAATTATTAGAATTTGTTTTAAAAAATTATAAAACTTGCAATCTTTTGCATATTTTGTGGCAAAGGGCTTCAAATTTTATTCTAATATAATTTAATTCCACCCATTTATTGTTCACCAGAGCAAATATGTAACAGGAATGAAGACTCTACTCATTCATATGTACTTATTTCAATAAATTTTTCCGGAATTTTAGATGCAAAAGAAATGGCAGCTCTATTAAGAATCTTTGTCTTTTAAATTGGAAGCACTGCCTCATTACAAAAGTCAAATTTTTTCCACATCATATTTTCATAGTCGTGGGAATTGATTGAAAAAAATTAACTTAAAAGGTCATGTGGTAAAAAAATCGTACACATATATCCAGAGGAGGCATTTGTTCAGAACTTCTCCAATTGAAGAACATCGTTACTAACACATATCTTAGAAGTTTCGCCTTAAAAGTTTATTTGTTTAAAATGTCAACTGACGCACAGCCACAACCAGCTGCGCAGGGAAATGGCGAGGTAAGAAATCCTACTAATTAAAGATTATATACTATTAATTGATTTATAATTTTGGAAACCAAACTAGCTGGCACCAGCAGCTGATGGTGTTGCTGACCACACCAATCAAGATCAACAACAACAACGGCAACCCTCTAAAATGGAGTCTTTCTTTGCAATGACAAAATCATTGATATTACGTGCTCTTATTATTTATTTCATTAGTTCATTTTTCCGCCGACCTCAACAGGCAACTAATGATGCAACTGAGCAAAAAGCTGCAAATCTTGCTCCGCGCGTGAACGCATGGAATTATTTTGAAAATGGTACTCTTTTTGATTTGCACGTTTGGCTGTCGGAACATGCAGAAGATGTAGACTTTAAACAAAAATCGAATTTAATATGGTTGCAAGAAGATCTTGTATATGGCGATTGGTCATCGGGACCAAAACACGATGGTATTTATACGCATAACTTAAAAGTAAAAGCATCCAAATCGTTGATGAACAATGGCAGCATGTATTTGCACACGTTTGTTACACGTGCTGGAGATAGTCCTGACCCGGACGCAGATAATTACGCTAAAAAAGGAATGATGGGTTACCAGCACAGAATTCTTAATAAATACAAGCGGATACGCGTTAATCGCAACTATAATCTTCTTGGAGGAGAAAAAGAAAGATTGGCTAAAGAACTAGAACAAGCAAACCTTAAAGATACCATAGTTTCACATTGGCATCCAAATATAACTATAAACCTAGTGGTAGATCAAACCAATTGGGCTGCGGGTACAGTGCCACCACCTTTAGATGAGTATGTCAAGTTTGTAGATGGTGGTAAAACGTATTTGCCTATCGTATTTATCAATGATTACTGGAATTTGCAACGTGAATATTTTCCGATAAATGAGACCACCCCCGATTTAGATTTGCATATAACTTTCCAACCTTTGAGTATGTTCAAATGGCAATTATATGCTGCACAACAGATGAAGAACAAATGGGGTGGAAATATGCTCGGGGAACTAATGACAGCTGGCGCTCCTGAGGTAATTTTGTAAATTGATATATATATTTATATATCTATACATATGTATATAATATTACACATTAATTTTTTAGGAGTCTGATGAAGATCAAGATTCTTTGAAGGAAACACTCCTTGACACAAATATATATTTGCTGGGACTCACAATTGCTATATCAATTTTGCATTCAGTGTTTGAGTTGTTGGCTTTCAAAAACGATATACAGTTCTGGAACAACCGTAAGTCTCTGGAGGGCCTTTCAGTGCGCTCCGTCTTCTTTGGAGTATTTCAGTCGTTAATTGTGCTACTTTACGTTCTGGACAATGAAACCAATTTCATGATTCGAGTTTCATGCTTTATAGGATTAGGCATTGAAATTTGGAAAATCCATAAAGTTGTCGATATCGATTACAACACTGACCAGAAAATTTTGGGCATACTCCCGAAAATTAGTTTCCAAGATAAAGGTTCATACGCGGACAGTAATACAAAAGAATATGACAATCTTGCCTTCAAATACCTAGGTTGGGCATGTTTCCCTCTGCTAATTGGATATTTTATCTACTCATTAGTGTATAACCAGCACAAGGGATGGTATTCATTTGTGCTGAATATGCTATATGGTTACCTATTAACATTTGGCTTCATTATGATGACGCCTCAGTTGTTCATCAACTATAAACTAAAATCCGTAGCACATTTGCCGTGGCGTATGATGACATATAAATTCCTCAACACATTTATAGATGATATATTTGCTTTTGTGATCAAAATGCCTACTATGTATAGGTTAGGATGTTTCCGTGATGATATTATATTCTTTGTATTCTTGTATCAGCGCTGGCAATATCGCGTTGATTACAAGCGTGTGAATGAGTTTGGTTTCTCCGGAGAAATGGAGGAAGAAGCGTCGAAAAAGAGAGTTGAAGCTGTGGCACCTGCGTTAGAGCAGCAAGCAATCGAAAATACGCCGAAACCAGCAGCCGAAAAGAAGGAGGACTAAGTATTGTATCGCGTATCTGTAGATGTTAGATAATTTAAACCGAGTTTTCCAAATCCACACAGAAGTGGATATTTCATGTATGAATGAGATTTTCTGTGAAAAAGTCATATTTTTGTGTTCTCTCAAAATTTCATTTCCTATATGTTAGCAAATTGATTTAGAGATAAGTTGCTATTCGCAATTGTATATTGAAACGCAAAAGGCAAAATATTATATTCATTTAATAAAGACATACTTACATATGTATGTACTATTCTTAAATACTTGATATTCTTCCATACACTTTAATTCCTTATCAGTAGTTTTGTTTCCTAAAGTTATCGTTTGGATAAACAAGATTAAATTGCTGAGTAAGCAATAAGTATAAGACACTTGTAGATAATAACCGTTGTTATTTAAAAAGATTAGTTTTATCAACTGTTTGAACGATTTACACAATAGTTAATGAATCTTTGAAATATTCGTTTACAGAAACTTTATGTTTGTTAAAAAATTGTATTAAAATTTATAAACCTTATTTATTCTTTTTTGCACACTAAAATATTTCGCAAAATTTTATAAAACATAACCAAGCAAAAGCATTACATTTTAATTAATATAAATATTTTAGCCGCAAATTATACAATGTTCGGTAATAAGCTAAAATTTTTTACCTAAGAATTCTTTAATAATAAAATGATTGCTTACAAACTTCTAATTCCAATTAAAAAAAAAAAATTTAAATGTGTTAAAAACACAAAAAAAAAAGTGAATCACCCTGCGTTTGATTGGCACTACTTATAAATTTTATATATTGCTCAAAAAGTTTCAAGTATCAAAGGTATTCAAATAATGAATTGTTTCAAAACATTTGCTACTTAAATATTTGGATATTACTGTTGCTCCAATTATACCTACATTGTTTTATTAGGCATAGGAAATTTTTTCACCCCAACTCAACACAGAGAAAAAAATGTTATCGTTTGGCACACAGCCTAACACAATTTTAATAATTTGCTTAGACATTTCGATCAGAGAAGAATGTAGCATTAACGTGACGTCTGGCAACGCTGCAGTTGTCAACTAATCACAAGAGAATTTTATGCGCAAAAAAAATAACACAAAAAACAAAATAATGCAAAACATTTATTCGCAGCGTAACTAAAAACATTGTTTAATTTATAAAGTTCAGCCTGAACTAATATATTAAGGATATACAGATTTATATACTTTTGATATATACAAGACAAGCTTTTTTTAAACAATTAATGTTGGTTATTGTTCTCTACGAGCTAAACTAATGCTGGACAAGTAATTGACGCGCTTCACAAACATAATTTAATTCAATTTTACAGCTTAAATCCGAAATTTCAATATCTATTAACATTAATAACAAATAACTAAATTAACTTTTACAAAAAGAGAATTCTAATAACAAAAGAAATAAAGAGCAGTAGCAGTTTTCTATATATTTTTAAACTGTGTGTGTTGTTTTATGTAAATAGACAATTATTTCTACACGCATCCAGCTCATGTTGCTAATCGCAAAGCTCACTTATTTTAATTTTCTAAACGCATTCAAGTGAGCACTCTAAATACATACAATTGAAACAAGAAAAAATTTATATGTACATATGTATAGATATATAAACAATAAGCGGTTGATACATATTTCATCGTAATTTTGCGCGAAATGCGAAAGCTTGACTGTCTTGGTCAGCGCGTAAAGCCAACAAACAACGCAGCAACTACCAGTTGTTGGGCACAACCGTAGTAGACTTTTTACCTATAAATACTATTTTAACTATGCATATATTGCATTATTGCTCGATAACGGTAACTTCAATAGGCGGTATAAATTTCCAGATGTGCTCCTGCTGTTCATGATAGCTAGCTGCGCTGCCAACAATGTCGTTTGCTTGTAGAGCGGGCATTTTATAGTCCAACAATTGGCCACGCGCTGATTGAGTTGAGGCCTGTTGTGGCTTGGAGCAGCATTGTATGCTTGCCTTGAAGCGACCAGGTGTAAAAAAGATTGCGGTACATTCGTGTTGAATTTGTGCGTGTTTTTGTAGAAGCGGTATTGATACTCTGTTGACAAAAAAAAAACATTGTAGTCATGACATACATACATTTAAAGAAACTTAGAGCAGAGCTTCGACTTACCTGCTCGGACCGGATATGGCAACGCGTGTATCTAAATTGTAATTTTCCATGCCATTCAAGTAATCCTGGTAGAATTTGATGGTGAGCACAAGGTTGCGTAGCGGTTGCGCGGACTGATTGCTTACGCTTACATTCAATATGGCGCTCTGTCCGGCGGCGCAGACAATTTCCGATTGCGGTTGGACGGGTGTGTTTTGGAAGGACACCGCTTTAAAATAATGCAAAAAGTTTATATATAATTTAATATAGGTTTTATGGAGTTGAAAAC